GTACTGGAAACTTAATTAGTTGCTTTTGTGTTGTAAGTTGTGTTTCATTGAATAACGTCTGCTTTACTTTAATGGATTAAATAAATGAGAACTTTGATAGATTTTGGAATTATTAGATCTATGTGAAACATCTCTTAAAACGTTTATTTACCTTTTTTTTATTATTGCTTACTTCCGAAAAGTTCCTAGGCCTTAGACTCTATATTACCTGGGTAGAACGACTAATTTCGAAGCGAATGACGTGCTATACATTTACAGACTAGTACATGATTGTATGTTTGTACAGTGTATTCTTGAATAAATCTGTGATCCACCAATGTTATTTTGCTTGGACAGGAAAGGTACCGCGAAATCTCCCTGATTCTTTCTAATTCTCGACCTTCCATTAGAATCGTATAAGTAATCTGGAGTTTAAGACGTTATTATAAATACTTAAATAATACCAAATCATGTAAAAGTTAAACGTTTAAGTATATGATAATAAAACAGATTGCAATTTATTTTAAAGTTAACCTTGTAAACTAGTTGTTTTTAAATATCAAACATAACATTCATTGGAGAGTACTCATTGCACTATATAAATACTTTGAATTTAATAATATCAATGATAAATTTTTAAGATAATAGAGAAGCTTCATTATATACATATATATATGTGTGTTGCTTGGAATTTCATTTAAAAAATATTATTATTATTTAGACGAAATTGAAGGTAATCATAACGCAGTTAACAGAGACGATATTCCTGCAAGAGTATTTTTGCGCTACCTTGCTCGATCGAGCAAGGTTTTTAGTGGATTTTGCAGCCTTTTACTAATTACCTCAAAGCTGTTCGTGCTAGGTATAGAATATATATATATTCTGTACACATTTATTACTGTGGTAAGAAGGAAATTAAAATTACTTTTGCAGTTTTATTGGTACATTTAATATGGATTTGTATAAGAAAAGAAAAGACGAAGTTCTTGAATATAAATATTTTCTTCTTTAGCTGATTTAACATTTATTATTATGAAATTAACTCAAATGAACAAACTTGTTAACATACATACATTTTCAATCAATAAACTGCATATAAACTTAATTTTTTGTGATATTTAATATGCTTTTTTAAAATCATTTCTATAATAAATTCTTCATTTTTTTTCCAATAAGTTTATTTTAGAGGTTAAGAATTATATTCATAAAGCGTTAACGCAATTACAAATAAAAATGGGTAAATATATTTTTTGAGCAACATCATTGAAATGTTTCAAAAAGACCCTAGGTTGTCTGCATGCTATTAATTACTGGTTATAGGAGAATCATTCAGGGTCTTGTAATTTTTACGATTTATCTCTCATGCCAAAAGAAAAAAAAATGAAGTTGGTACAAATATGATTACTCCTGTTTTATTCTCACGGGAATGAGCTAAGAACTGAAGTATTGGAAGCAGATATAATTCTTAATATCAAATAAAATATTTAAAGTACTCTTTTTTTCTAATTCCTTCCACTCTAGCGATCTCTTCTCCAATATCTGTAACGATTTTAAATAAAAGATGTTTTCAAAACTGTAGTAATCAAGATGAAACCCTAAACTCTTGCATAAAAGCGTCTTTATGAGTGCACAGCACGAAGAAACTGCTTTTATTTCCAAATCAACATTTCTTTCACAAAAATTGAAGTAAAAACTCATCTTCAGAATGTATTTATTGTCTAAGGTTTTTTTAAACACATTATAATGTAATCACTCTTATAAGTGTCATTCTATCATTCTATTGAAATATTTTTAGGTATAACCATCTAACACAACTATCTCAATACCGTTAGAGCCAATGTTCAGAATGTAAAACTATATCCTTCCATTCATAGCTTATGCCTCAAGCAAGAAATGTTAGTTTAATTAAATTATGAAACGTTTCTACCCCTGAGTGGTTGTTTCAGCTGAATAGACGTACACATTTAGCTTTTTGTATATGACTTTACGATACCTTATGATGCTACATACAAAATATAATAAAATTATTAGTGAAATACATATTCTCAACTCGATATATCCTTCAAGCAGTATAACTCCAGCCAACCAACTCTTCTCAACTTTAGTATTACAAATACTGCTAAAAATTCAATATACCAATTTCTTCAACGTTTTTAACCCATTAAATATCAGCTTTTGAGTTCAAAATATAATACTGTTCAGGAACAATTGCTTCTTATTTACGTATCTTAAGACTTATGAAATAACATTTCCTTTAAAGATTGGAATCCACAATACAAACGGGAAACGAGGAATCTAAATCTGAAAATCCACTTTATGTTTGATAGCCAGGTTTAGCAGTATAGATCCACTACTATGCACGGTATTGGAATATAAGTAAGGCCTACAGCATTATTAGCTGTAGTAATTGATTGTATTATAAAAATATCTAGGTAGGTAGCATCCATTACAAAGTCTCGCATGGCCTAATGTTTAAGGAGCTCTTCTCAAAGCTTGCGAGTCACGAGATTGAATTGTATAACCGAGTATGCTCGTTCGTTCAGCCGTGGAGGCGTTATTATGTATCAGTCAATCCCACTTTTCGTTGGTAAAGAGTAGCCTAAGAGTTGTCGGTGGATGGTGTTGACCAGCTGCCTTATTTTTAGTCTATCACTTCTAAATTAGGGACAGCTAATGCAGGTATTCCTCGAGTAGCAAACATAGAAGTATCAATTATTTAATAAATGTCAGTATTTATTGTTTTACGTCATTGCGATATCTAAAAGTGTAATGACATTCCTTGTGCTACATTTGTTTGTAACATTTCTATTCTCATGTTCGTACCGCTTTCCATAACTAGACATTTAATTAACTTCACATGAAAACAACATTTTGCATATGGATTTTACTATGAAGCACAGCGAGGGGATCTAAACGATAATATTTTCACAAGCTTTGCGATTTTCCTTTTTCGAAACATTCATTGGACACTCAGATCATGTTTTGAAAATTCGTCAAAACAATTATGACAATAATAAGTAAATCAGAACAAAAGTATTTTTACGTAAAGAATGGTAAAACCAGATCTCTAAATAGTACTCTGTTGTTGCTGGTAAGTGAGAGTCTTGGTAACAATAGGGAAAACGAAAGTCGGTTTAATATTGGGGTCCATCTTAAGCAATAGATAAAAACAACATCAGAATCAATACGTTTTGAAATCTAAAAAACAAAATCAGCTATGATACAAATAAAACAAGTTATACTACTGCCAAAATAACAAATAGAAAACAATCGTATTGTTCTTGCTTTGTTTCTTTTTATTGTTGTTGTGAAATAATCCATAAACCATTTCGTTGTTACTGATAGCGAAACATCATTTCCATGAGATTTTTAAAAACTTGATAATTTGCAGATGGATCATTTTGGAGTTTGAAATTTTTATATCTAAAAGTCGATTTGTTTTTAACGTCGTTTAAAATATTTCATCATCATATTAAACTTCATTACCTAAAAGTTGTTATTCTATTTTCCAAAATGCCGGAATGTGGATTCGTGGGCCCCTCGTTCGCGTTCTCTTACCACAAATTTGCACTGTGCATATGGGCTGTGGGTTCATTATAAGAGTAACGGTTAAATCCCACATTTCGACACAGTAGCCCAAGAGTTGGCCGTGGATACTGTTGAATTATTGCCTTCCCTTTAATTTAGCCTCCCAATGGCTCAGCGATATGTCTGCGGACTTATAACGCTAGAAACCGGGTTTCAATACCCGTAGTGGGCAGAGCACAGATAGCCCATTGTGTAGCTTTGTGCTTAACTTCAAACAAACAAACAAACAATCCCTTTAATTTATCAATTCAAAATTAGAAGACGGCTAACGCTGATAGACATTGTGTAGCGTTACTTGAATATCAGGAACAAATAAACGATTTAATGATTAATAAAAGTAAGTTTTATGACTTAGTAATAAAGATACATTTAACTGGGTTTTGGGGTAATCTATAGTCGGCACAACATTTAAATATGTCAAGATTTATAAGCATTTATAATTACTTTCTGGATTGTTAAACTTTCTGGGTTTTACGATTGGATTTCATTTGTTTCTGCAAAGATAACCTTGTTAGAAGCTTTAACCTCACTAATAATTAACTTAATTTCACTTACAGATTCAAGCTTAATAGTTAAACACCCAGGTTCTGGCTTAAGTTAGGTTCCCACATATAATACTGGGAGATTTAATTCACATGGATTTGGAACTTTGTATTAAAGACACGAATAACCATACAGAAAAATTCATTAAACACAGAATATCTTTGTCAGAAAATGATAAACAAAAATATATCTAATATACCCCTGATAGTATCTCGAGACATAAAATTCTATATCTATGCCCAATGTGTAACAAGGTATATCAGTAAATACTATTCTGCGTTTATTTGTCAATACTTGACATTTTCAATGGGGAGAGAAAAAAATTCCACGACATTTTTGGGTGTAGGAAATGTTCCATTTTTACTTATTCTTAAGTTTAACGTAGTTCAACTAATTTAATAAAATATTATCCATTTAACGATTTTTTATTCATAGTCACTGAAAACTGCGAAAGTAGTTTACTCAAACATTAAACCCAGACACTTCATCCTAAGCATTTAAGTGAAAACTACTGTGGTTGGTTAATGGAGTGTATTATAAAATTGTATATATTTCCTTTTCTTGCAACCTGTTTTTGTGTATCGGGTGAAGTTCGATAGAATCCCGCCTAATTTGGTTGAATTGACAGACATTTTTCTGTTATAATCCATAAAATGATAACGGAATTTTAGAACTAATCTATATATATGCAATTTTGTGAAAGAATAATAATAATTTGTTTTTATTTATAGATATCATATATAGTTTTGCGTTTGCATTTGCACTCGAATATGACACATTTTTTTCCCTTGTTAACAGAATTTTTAATAGCTCATCGCTGTCGTATTTAAATAAACTTGTACACACATTGTAACTCTCAAACTTTCATTTTTAATATTATTTATTTCCAGGACAACAGGCTGTTTTAAATTCTTTCTCAGTCCGGGAACTTCTTCCTGACACCCATTTCTATACTACATATGAGGGTTCATTAACAATGCCCGGTTGTCACGAGACTGTTACGTGGCTTGTGATGAACAAACCAATTTATATAACCAAACAACAGGTACGTCTATATATATCCTTATAACTAGATTCATCATTACTAGTTTTTCAAAAAACCAATAACTTTTCCACGAAAGACGTTTTATGAAGTGAGTGTTGATTCGTTTACAATAGCGTAATTTCTATCACTTATTTTGTGGCAGGCCGTGACTGTAGTTTCAAACTGTTCGCTTAGCCCCAGTACTTCACTGATAAGTCTGAAGGCTTATAACGCTAAAAGCCTGGTTTCAATACCTGTGGTGGGCACATCACAGATAGTCCATTGTGTAGCTTTGCGCTTAACAACAAACAAACACTATCTTGTAAATACCTGTGCCGATACTTCTAAGTTTCGTTTTTAAAGTATAAAAGATGTATAAAACTTTCTATATGTAGCAATATTTGTATTTTAGAAACGATGTAAGGACTTCAAAAGATAATATAAATCTTATAGCATTACAAGAAACGCCTTAACATTCTAAATTAACATACTTAACATTCTATAATATGTTATCACTAAAAAAACGTCGTCAAACAACCACGAGAGTTTAAATACAGATTTTGTTTCCTAAACGCACAAATGGTAAGTTTCCCACAACGATTAACTATGCAAAATGTTCTCATAGCAGCTGAGGATCAGGGAGGAACGTAAAGGTTTGTTTTAGCTAATGGGTCATGTACTATGTACCCATAAACGTTAAAAAAACAGCTTCATTCTTTTGTTTCAATATATGCCATATGAAGGTGTTAATAAAACAATTAATTTTTGAATCAATACTTGCTGTGTATGCAAAAGTAAAGTTCACGCTTTTTGCTTCCACTGACTCTTCTTGTGTTTCGTGCTCTATATGTAATACATTTCATTTTTCGCAGTGTTTTGTTTCTGTACCTTACCATTATGAATTTTAAGTGAAGCATTAGAATATAATTAATTAAATTAGCTACACATGTCTCAACTACTCATACTAAATATCACATTTTGGTGTACGACAGATGATTAAGGTATCAAAAATGATAATAAAAAATAGAGTAACCAGTTAATACATCAAATGCCCTGGATATCATTCCCTTAATCCCTTTCCGTTACTTCGTCGTTAAAAAAATTTCTAATATTATCAATACCTCCTAAAACTTAACTGATCAATATTGATGCAATATGGATTGGCCCGGTATGGCCAGGTGGTTAGGGCGCTCGACTCTCAACCTGCGGGTCGCGGGTTCGAATCCCCGTCCCACCAAACATAATCACTCTTTCAGACGTGGGGGCGTTATAATGTGACGATCAATCCCACTATTCGGTGGTAACAGAGTACCTCAAGAGTTGGCGGTGGGTGGTGATAACTAGCTGCCTTCCCTCTAGTTTTACACTGCTAAATTAGAGACAGCTAGTGCAGATAGCCCTCGTGTAGCTTTTCGCGAAATTCAAGAAACAAAACCAAAACGGAGTATCCACACTAGAATAAAGAGATGCTTGCATAATAGAGACTATCAGTTTTTATATACATTATTTCTGCTGTTTCCAATAAACAATGAGCTTTTATAGTTGACAAAGAAAGCATACGCTAAGTAGATTATGATCTGATTATTTTGATAAATGCGTGCAGTCCATTCCCGGATAGCAATTTATACGATCCAGCTGTGATCTATGTTTTTCTTTTGGATAAACAGTCACCTAGGAATCCATTCAAATAGAATTTACAAGCAAATCAAACAAACAAATACGATGGTATACTACGAAACATATATGAAATTGTGTTTTTCTTATTGATCTTCTCGTCCACAACAGGAACACATATAGTCAACTTTCCAGAAAGTCTGTTTTTATTTCGAATTTCAGAAACATTTTACATTCCAAAGAGTTTCTTTAGGCATGTGCCCCGGGGGAAAGTAGCGCATGTATATAACTTCTTGAACAGTCCCTTGAGAGGGTCTAGCTATTGTACTCCCTTTGATTGTATGATGCTCCAAACACTTAAAAACGTGACATTTTTCTCTAACTGCCTCATTCAAGGAAAAATAAAAATAATTTTCTTGTATTCTTAAATTAGTGGTGATATGTTTGTCTAAAATCCTAATAGAAAGCAACTTTAATAAAGCCAGTCGCATAGAGTTCAAAAGAATCCAAAACTACTTCTTTATTCAACATTGTGACTCTCGAAACATCGTGATTTACAGCGAATTTCGAGATTAGACAGTGTCTCTATGTATAGTTTGGATGTGTAAACTAGTTAAGAGAAAAATATATTGGCATGAAATCAAAACACATCCACTTTTAGGCCGATATTTTGAGAAACTGTAAATTTATAAAAAAATATTTTATAATATTATTATTTCTTTTCTATTTTTCAATCGATCATCCTTTATTTATGGAAAGTAAAACACAATTATTATTGATCATCAAATAACGAACGTCTTATCATTTTTTGGGAACCTTTTTTTTTATAGTTCCGTAAAGTATATGAAAAAAAATTAAATATTTGCGTTTCTTCGTTTTTAATACGCATATTTTTAATTAACAGCTCTACGCGCTTAAACAGTCAATGCAGGGAGAACGAGACAACCCCAAAGCGCCACTAGTCAACAATTTTAGGCCTACACAAGCCACGCACCATCGTTTGCTCAGAACAAATATTGATTTCAATCGTCACAAGGTAAGCTAGAAACTAATAAGAGAAATAAAAAAAAACAACGATTGTTTGTGGTCTCAATTAAGCTCTAAATTGAAAGTTTTGGACTGTTTGACTTTTGGTTGCCAAGTGATTGGAATTCTTATTCTTTGCTAAATTATTTATTTGTTGTTGTTTTTTTACTTAAATCAAAGTGATTGTTGCTGCACAGCTTAACCAACGGTAAAGATGAGAAAGTTAACCTTACGAAAATTTTCGTAAGACATTTCAGTTTTTTGCTTTCACGTTTTCAGAAATTACAATACTTTTTCAGGAAATATAATTCCTGAGAAAGAAATAATAATTATTTCATAACATCGTCTGTATATAAAGGTGTTTTATTAGAAAATTTTACGTTTTATTAATAATAATATAATATAATATATAGGGTTAGTCACAATATTTAACCTATTCTGTATTCACTATTTTATACTGCCCGTTATTAATAACGATATTTTAATACTTATAACAATATACGTGGTTGTTAATTAGGCTTAACTGTATTTTTTGTATAGATTATTGTTTCTTATATATATACAATTTCAGTCGTCATTACTTGACAATCATTAGAAAGGTTAGAAAAATATTTTGATATTTGTCAGTGAGTTAGGCTAGTTTCGGGAAATTAAATCTGGTCTAAGTTTCACTTAATGAACTAAAGGATAAACTTGAAAATGTTTGAAGATTTAATGCTATGAGATTGAATCTTGAGCCATTTTAATTACGAATACTGCATGCGCAAACGTAATGTATTGGGTTAAAAGAAGTAAGTCTAATACATAAATTGTAACTATACATGCCATGAAAAAGTGGTCAGGCCATGGCCTCATTGGCCTTTCCACTTCCTACGGCCCTGCTAATGAACTAAAGGATAAACTAGGTTTCACGTTTCTTTCTTGCCAAAATGTAATATTTTTTGTGGTGATAGAAACAATTACGTTATTTTAAATGACTAGTCTGTTAAAAAAAATTAGAAGCATTGAGGATATATGTTCCTATAATTCCTGCTGTTACATATAATTACATTTGGTGGAGTCAAAATAGGGATTTGTACTTTGAGTAGACAATGTCTACAGTATCTCCAGCCTTGTTTCCTTACTTTTTTTACGCTCCCAGTCAGCACTTTTTTTAATTCCCATTTTTTCATTTATCTTTGCTGGCTTTTTGTATGCTCAATCATGGGCAAAGAATTACCTGATATGGTAACTAGCTTTAAACATTGTAATGATAATAAATATAACTAGTAGCTAGCTGATACGGTTCATGATGCCTTACTGTAGCTATTGACTATTTGATCGCATTAGTTCGAGTTGTAAACTGTTAAGCTGCAGCTGGAGATTGTCAGATAGATTTGTTTGAGAATATAGTGAGCATTTATAGTTTCTTTGTAAGTAAATTCTCTATAAATAATACTCAGCAATGGGCAAATATATGTCCATACTAAGACACACAACCCCCATTTAGTGCGTATAGTATTTTACCAGTAGAAAAGCAGCATCTAATGTTCATCTATTATTGGCTAGCAATTACCATTTCACCCTGTACTTAAGCTTCTTAAAGGGAACCAAATATTTGTAAGACAGCTAAGTTCAAGGGGTAATGATAACATTGTTTACACTAGAATTATGATGTTTTTTAGCTTATGTAAAATATAGAAGAAACAAATCGACTTTTCAATACCCCAAGACCTTCGCAGTACCTTATTTAGTATTCTACAGAAGGTTTGGGTGCAATATACCAAGCCCTTTTTGTTATAGGCTGGCAAAAGAATAATATAAGAAGAACTACAAACAGGCCGTTTTGAGTGGATTTTCTTTTCCTTGTAAGAAGTCTAACATGCGTACTTTTTTGTGCATTTTTATTTGTACAACCTTAGTAGTCGATATTAAAGGTTTTAAAATGTTGTTTGAATTGAATCTTTACTGTTTAAGGTGCTTTTTGCCCGAACGTTCTGTTAGGGTTTTATGCAATTCTTTGCAGTCCCTTTTATGAACCACTATTGTGGTTTATGCTATGAGTTTACTGTGGTGAGCAAACGACAACTTAAGCAAATATCATTAGAATTTCCTTTTATGAAACTCTGTTCTTTTCATAAATGATATACCATTTAGTTATGTCAGACCTATTGTTTAATTCCTTCGTGGGCGACCGGGCATTTATTCAAAAGAAAGCATCCTTTCTACATTGCCCCCTAATGGCTTACCGGTAAGTCTGTAGGCTTATAATGCTAAAAACTGAGTTGCAATACCCGTAGTAGGCACAGCACAGATAGCCCATTGTGCAGCTTTGTGCTTACCAAATAAAACAAACAAAAACTTTCTAGATCACTTGATATTTTAACGGGTTTTCTGCAAGTGTGTGTGCTCTCGCCACTCATTTGCGTTTTGTATGTAACAAATATACCACGTCTGTAAAATAACAATATTTTCTAATATGCTGACGAAACTATCTTTGATGCATCATGACCACTTTAAACAAGCTACTACTTGTTGCTATCAACTAATTTCTAACATGTTGATGTCTAACCATCAATGCTACTGAGAACAAAGCAATTTTATTTTTTCCCAATTGAAGGAAGTTTCACCCATGTCGCAACCAGCCTCAAACATTTTTATGTTCATACAAGCTGAGGTACCCGTCCTCTTTCCGGGTTATTAAGTTAAAAATTGTGGATGAAATGCTATGATAGATAACACGGAAATTCTAACTTTCACACATTTTATTTATAATATAACATATTATTACTGTATTTATTATTACTTCATCAAAAGTTTTATATATGGTTTAAAAACTCAATACCTATATATTTAAAACATGGTATACACTGTGCGATGGTTGGGGTAACCTTGTAGGAAGAGGTAGCGGCCAAAGTGTGGCGGTAGGGGTGCTTTTTGTTACCTGCTTTCAACACCCACCTCTTAATGTCCTTCCACAGTGCTTCACGTGATTGACGACCATGTCAAGATTTTCATTCGCTCTTGTCTAACCTGCAGTCACTCTTCCTGGGTCATTTTATGATCCCCTAAAAATCCTTAAACGTCGTGCTATTCGTCTAATCTTTAAAATTAAGTTGCCTTGACCTACCAGTGAATATTATGATCGTAATACTTTCCCACCCATAATGAATTACCTTTTCCCCATATGTACTTCATGTCTCTCCCTATAAATGATGTCACACCAATGACTAATTTACCTAATTTTGTTTATCCAATACAAAGATTCAGCAGTATATTTGATCTCGCTACATTGCCCCCACAGATACTATATATCACTATTTTAATTTTCTAAATATAATGCTATCTATCAAACACTGCACTATTTAAACCGTTAATCTTCATAACCATCACTTTATACAAATCCCCTTCCTTTAGGTTTCCATTCTCTTGGTTGGAGAGAATGCGTAACCCTCTCCTTTTTTTTTACGAGACTAGAATGAAATAGCTTTAAAAATAACGTAAGCAAAATATTCTGACGTTTAATGTTTCTCAAATAAAGTTCAACATGAAAATACTCTTCAACAGCTGCATTTGTCAAATGTTGCCCATAATACTTCTTATTGAGCTTTTGTGCATTTTGCTGTTGTTTAATAAACTATACTTTTGAACTTTGTCTTTAAGGTGAATTTATGTACTTTATCAATGTTAGTTTGAATAGTTGCTAGAACACCATCTAGACCTGGTACTTTCTGATATTATTTTATTTCAATAGTTGACTTCTACCTAAAATGTGCTTATAGTTTATATTCCATTGAAAATTGGAGCAAATCCTGGAGTATTATCAATTTTGTTACTACTTTTCAAATCCTCATTTATAACATAAACACTAAGTGTCCATAACATGAACGCCATAATGAGAGCTTTGATAAAGTATAATTATGGAGCATTTCATTTCTCTGCATATGCAAGAATAGACTGATCACATGTGTGTATCAGTAGCCATATTACAGTCACCTGTACTGGACAATGAACAAGAGCAAGGCCAGACTTACAAAGAAGCAGAAAATAGACGACTGTCCAACAAAGACGTTGTTATCAAATACTATTTATTAATCAGTTGCCCAGAAACATTTGTCATCAGAATCTTTCAATGACGGTAATGAAAAAAGAAAGTACCACCTGGTACTACGAAGACATTTGTCCGCCAGACTTTGAGAAAACACTATTGGATAAGTTGTAAGTTGTAACCAGCATCAGTGTGCTGCAATTGGCCAAGTCCTTCAATAAAAGTCAGATAATCACCTCTAACTGTGCCATTGAAAGGATATTACAAAAACTGAAATATGGCAGCCAACTCGATAACTGCTTATCTTATACAAGCAATAGTGTGTAGCCTAAGATTACCGTACTCGAACTGTGAATTCGAAAATCCAAGGTTCGCGTCCCGTTTTCTCAAACTCCTGCCCCTCACTTTGGGTCCGTGGATGCGCTATAACAATGATGATCAAATCTCACTATTAAATAAGAATATGCTGATAGTTGGCGGTTAATGTTATTGACTAGTTGTCTTTTCTCTAGTTTATCAATGCAAAATTAGGGACAGGTCTAGTAGATAACTCTTGTGTACCTTTACTCTAATAACCGAAACAAAAATTAATGGTGTTTCGAACGTGGGCTTTGAACATTGAATAACTGGAAGAGTGCGCGATTAGATGTGAAATATCAGAAAAAAATAATTTAAAACAAGCAAATCTAACATAAAAAGTTTACAATATCAAAAAATGCTATGACGGTTTTTGGTATATAGTCAAAAATAAGAATGTAATATTACCTTCAACATAAAACTTTTAAAAGAACATATTATGCGCAATAGTTTCTTTGTGTGTTTCACCTCTCTCTCTTGTCTGATCATTGTTCGAAACGTTCCCGAAATGTTGCCAACAAAGATTAAGACGCAGTCCATTACACTTCTAACTCAAATAACCTAACAGACTGCCTGTTATACACGTTTGCAGACTTTATTGCATACAGGGCTGTAACATGTAAACA